AGAGACATCAATTTGATGGATGGACCACTCGGTGGATAAAGAACTGGCTGGATGGCTGCACACAAAGAGTTGTGGTCAATGGCTCAATGTCCAGCTGGAGACCAGTAACGAGTGGTGTCTCTTAAGGATCAGTGTTGGGACCGGTCTTGTTCAACATCTTTGTCAGTGACATGGACAGTGGGATTGAGTGCACCCTCAGCAAGTTTGCCAATGACACCAAGCTGTGTGGTTTGGTTGATAAGCTGGAGGGAAGGAATGCCATCCAGAGGGACCCTGACACACTTGTGAGGTGGGATGATGCCAACCTCATGAAGTTTAACCATGCCAAGTGCAAGGTCCTACACCTGGGTGGGAGCAATCCCAGTCACAGCTACAGGCTGGGCAGAGAAGAGATTCAGAGCAGCCCTGTGGAGAAGGACTTGGGGGTGCTGGTCGATGAGAAAATGAACATGAGCCAGCTTCAGTGTGCGCTCGCAGCCCAGAAAGACAACTGTATCCTGGGCTGCATCAAAAGGAGTGTGACCAGCAGGTCGAAGGAGGTGATCCTGCCCCTCTACTCTGCTCTTGTGAGACCTCACTTGGAGTATTGTGTGCAGTTCTGGTGTCCTCAACATAAAAAGGACATGGAACTGTTGGAACAAGTCCAGAGGAGGGCCACGAGGATGATAAGGGGGCTGGAGCACCTCCCATATGAAGATCGGCTGAGAAAGTTGGGGCTGTTCAGCCTGGAGAAGAGAAGGCTGCGTGGAGACCTCATAGCAGCCTTCCAGTATCTAAGGGGGACCTATAGGGATACTGGGGATGGACTCTTCATTAGGGACTGTAGTGATAGGACAAGCGGTAATGGGTTAAAACTTAAACAGGGGAAGTTTAGATTGGATATAAGGAGGAAATTCTTTCCTGCTAGGGTGGTGAGGCACTGGAATGGGTTGCACAGGGAAGCTGGAAATGCTCCATCCCTGGCACCTAAAGGCTAGGTTAGACAGAGCCTTGAGTGATATGGTTTAGTGTGAGGTGTCCCTGCCCATGGCAGGGGGTTGGAACTTGATGATCTTCAGGTCCTTTCAAACCCAAACTAATCTATGATTCTATTCTAAATTCAGCTAGACTGTATGAGCTCTTTGAAATTGCAGTCTCATGGCTGTTAAATCCTGTAGAATGAATCCAGCATGAAGCAGGATTAGCAGACTGGTCAGTAATGAGATGCTCAAAGAGTACAAACTACTACCCAAGAGGAGTCACCATATGCTGGCTTGCAGGCCTCACAGCTGGGTGGATACTAAATGTTTTACCCTTGCCCACGACATTCTGTCATGATCCAGGGCAATGCCCATGTTCATATAACACTGCAGTTCCTGGGTGTTGCTGATAAGGGCTAAAAAAAGGAAGACTCAGAGCAACCGCAAAGCTGTGCAAAGCAGCAGGTGCTTTAATCATTTCCAAACACTGTGTTAGGAGAGCAGTGGAGTCCAGTCTAAGTTCCTATGCTGTTTCTTGCCTCATCATGCAAATGTGGTCAACCTGGAGCAGGAAGAAATCAGTTCAAATTTGTCCAATATATAGATTTGTTCTACTTAAAAGGTCCATGGCTTCTGAAGGTAATAGGAAGTTAACCCATCTAATTTAGGTATGTTCATTTAGTAAGGATCTAACCCTTTTCTGAGGTGGTGGCGTTATTCAGGTTCAAGAAAAGCACTGAATTTGTATTCTCCAGTACTCTAATTAATAAGTCTTGCAGAGCTGACTGTCTGCAGCTCACTGTGAACAGCAGCAGTAGAGAGTACTTTTATGACCTCATGGTTAAGAACATCTAAAACCGTGAGATATAGGTTCAGTCTTCTTCAGGATTATTTAGCTTATGGAGTGAATGCTTTAACTACTAACGTAGACTTAACATACAGAAACAAGGAGTAACTCCAGAAGTTAACACAAGCGCCTCAAACCTATATTTTCAAGATTCTCCATATTATCTACTCAGAGTTCAGGTGGCTTAGGACCTGAGCGGAGCTTTAAGTGGGACATAGTTTCACTTGTATCAGGACAGTGATAAAAATGACTTGGATTAATTCTTGCTTTAATAAATACAGACAGGAAGAGGGAGCCACATTCTGGCCCTGCTACGTTCATCAGACTCAGGCCATGGAACAGCTACAGCACTATTCGTACTCCAAAAACTCACCCTGGAACAAGATTATATGCATAGAGGCATAAACCTTGTTGATTTTTGCCACCTCTTAATACCTATATTTATCCATCATGCTAGTGCTTAAAGATGCAAGCTTAGAAAATATGATTTCACTGTGAAATGATTTCAGATCTTTTGTCCGGAGTCATTAAACTGAAGTGCTGTTTTGTCTGATCAATTCAGCAGGTGAAGAAGAAGACCTTTTTAGCCATACGTCTTCTTTTACTGCTCCTATGAATAAAGAATGTTTCACTGAAAAGCTTTAGAAGTGTGTTTATATGAAACCCATGCATTTGAATAACATTATAGATCAGAGGTTAAATAAAATACATTATTTGAAATAAGGCTGAATTTTAGAGTAGGAAAAAGTGAGATTTGCCAGACATTGTAGAATTAGGCACTGGGGGAAAAAAACCTATCGATCCCTTCAGGGGGAAGTATTGGCAAAGCAGAAGCCAGTAGATCAGATGGAATTTGTTTCTCTCCTAAGGTACCGAATTCTGACAACTGTGGGAATAAGTGCCAGCCACTCATTTAACACATGAACACCTTCAAAAGTGTAGTAATTATGAAGGAGAGAGTAGGACAAATACTGCATTTTCCAATGCTAATGAGTTCTTTTTATGGCTTAATCACTAGGCATTGGAGAGGTTTTTTTCCTAAGAAAACTGAAATGTAAATCTTAATTTCAGATGTGCATTGGCTGTTTGCATCGGCCAGCCTTTCACTAGAAACTTAAATGATTTCCTGTTCCAGCTTAAAACATTTTAAAATGGAAATAGTATAAATGTATTGTAGATGAATGTTAAAAATTAACCCAAACTCTCTTCTTTCCTTACTTAAGCTGAGATGTTCTTCCCTACTGTATTTGGGAAAATTAAACGTTTCACCATGCTTGGAAGCCAAAGGTTCATTCATAGTGTTCATTAAGCAAAGAAGCTTATGTACTCTATCAACACGAAGCTTAAAAAAGGGATTACTTTTACTTACGGAAAATCCTGCCATTTTGCACCTGCAGTTGAGTGCAAGCAAGTATACAGTCCAGCCCCTAAGTTATGTTTTGTTCATTCATATTGTCATGCAATCGTGGCCTGAAAGAGCAAAAAACAACCAACGTGAAACCAGCCCCACAGATTCGTATTTTTAAAGCTGCTTCCCTTGCCCAAGTGAATAAAAATCACAAATATTCACACTTCTTTTGTTTCCTGGCACAGCACGTTTGATTTGCTCACAAGGCTGCTGGACAAACTACAAATACACCTTCTCTAATCAGATGATCAAGTCTCAAAGCAAATGAGGGCACCAAAGATAACACCAATCTTCCAAAATACCAGTAGCTAAAATGCTGTTGAGACTGGAGAATACTTTGGACATCCCTGCCACCTGGTGTTTGGAAAACAACCTCATGTCTGAAAACAACCTGAATTGCTCTTAAATCTGTATTCCTATTAAGAAGCAAACAAACATTGATGTATTTAATATGGATTAAAAGCATAAGCAGCAAAAGCGTCCTTAGGTTGGTGTTATTACCAGAATCTGTCTAGAAAGAAAAGGAACAGGGTCACTTAATGTTCCTTCCAATCCCACCTCTTATAACCACAAACATTCTCAAATAGATCTTTGAATCCAGTGTATTGACACATCTCCTGTCAGTAATGACACTTTTGATGAGAAACCTCCCTTACACAGCTTCACAGTCTGTAAGGTACAGCGTGCCAAACCCAAAGGCAAAGGAATAAAGTTGTATGAGGTGGAGCTACATAAAAAAAGGACTAGCAATAAATAATACTGAGCAGTAAGTGAGTAAGCAGGCAGGGTCTGAAATTACTGTGATGACTATTAGCGTGTCTGAGCAAAATACTTAAAACCCCAAGGCTGTATAGTGGAAGTGGCAATGACACTACCACTTCTGTATGTTTGATACTTGAAGGAAACATTCCTCATTGGCAGCATTGATCACATTAAGCATAGAAACTGAGATAAACCATGTTTTATCTTTACCTATGAAAGGGTTGTTTCAAGTGGGGTCTAAAGCTCCAGTGTGGGCAACTGGAAAAATTACTGTGCAATTCAGTGATGATCAAAGTGTACCTATAGCACAGTGAGGGCTGGTTTGTTGTTTTTCCTTTCCTTTGCAAACCAAATGGAAATACATCTGTGTTTCACTGTTGTAACTCTGGGTGAAACCACAGTCTAAAGTCAGTCTGAGCAGAATAAACAGCTAGCGTATAAGTGAGCACCCCTGCCTGGAATAACTTCTTCGAATGGCTGCCAAAAGTAGAATGTAGCGTTTGGGTTTTTCTTCAGGGCAATGGAGGTCAAACACAACTGTGTGTTTGGTGCCCCACTGTTTCAGTTCTAGGAACTTTGAAAATGATATGCTCTAGAAGTTCAACTCTATATTGTACATTCACTGTGTACACATACTATCTCAGGCGCTTGGATCAGCATCTCTTGTAATAACAGAGCACATAGGTTATGTTTGGACCTGTCTATTAACTGAGAACGAGGCACTTGCATGGAGAGAAGGTAGCTAGCTATAGCTTTACTTGTGAAATGCAGGGAGGTGGGGTTTTTCCAGTTATTCTTAAGCCGATATTCTAAACTGCTTAATTCTCATTAACTTTTCCCAGGACATCTGAAAAAAAGTTGCTTTCTAATGAAAGCACAGAACATAAGAAGGAACTGCATAAAGCAGAAGATATTCTTCCTGCTTTCTACCAACAGTAACTGCTGAGCACAAACAGATGTTAGTACTATTTTCTTGCCTTACTATTGATGGGGAAAACTAGTGACTCTTGTATGATCTTTACAGAGAGCACAAAAGGGAGGAAAAAGAAATACAAGAAGTTGAAGGAGAAAACCCCCAGCTAACCACAAGTACAAATTACATCACTGGCCTAGCATGTGAACAGCTACTAACAGTGGGTCCAGGATCATTTCTTCTGTGACGCTGAATACTAGGCTGTTTACGGAATGTTTAAAATATGTAAAGAAAAAGAATACTTTAAACTGTTATGAAAATGTTGGATTCAAAAGGTATCACTGTTCCCTTTTGGTCAGTTCAAGCCTGTTGCAGCAGACCTGTTTTTGTTAGTCACAGCTTTTGCAAACCTCTTCAATATTCCATCTAATTTACTCTACATCAGTATTATTTTAACTGTTAAATACAAAGACAATAATGTTGCATATAACCTAGTACCATGAAACCTGTGCTTTCCATTCCTGTTTTGGTTTCACCATGCACAAATGGACCTTAAAAATCTCCTCAGAAAATGGAATAAATCTGCAAGAACCTAAGAGAAGACACCTGAACTCACTTCACACTAACCCTACTATTTTGTTCCTTAAATATCTGCTACGGATGACTGTCAAAGATAACGAAGCAGCTGAATAAACCCTTTGGATAATAAGGTATCATCAAAGAAAATGGTATGGATGATTTTACTTTTCACTAAAAAAACGTGAAATGTGTGACATTACACATGGAGAATGTATAATACACCTTGGCCCACACGAGTCTTATTTTCAGAGGCCAGCTCTGACAATGGCACATTCTACTGTACTGAAATTGCCCAACATTCTTCTTCAGCTGCTGCTTGAAATGAAATTGGCTCCTGAATCAGTAAACCAAACCAGTTAGGTAGGCAGAAAATCTGGGATTTGCAGAAGGCTCTGAGTGGACACACTGGCACAAGCTGCTCCCCAATCTATGTGCATACATGTATCTAATAGCTAAATATGCCAAGTTTTAACAGCTGTTTTCTTAACGAAAAATTGAAGTCTACATATTGTTTAAACTGTTTCAGTTCTAAACCTTTACCAAGCCATGGTAAAAGCCAATTAAAATTGTTTCAAATACAAAGAAATGTGTACTTTGTTTTCAAGGCATTGATAGTATTGTTTTCTACAGGAAAGCGAATGTGGGATGTTTGAATCTCTAATGCAGAGAAAACTGCAACATGGCATCTTGAAGCTGTAGAAAAGGCTCCCAAGCCTTTTCAAACCCTGAGGTAGCACCATCCCTGTTCAGCTATTTTACCTGTATAAAAGGAAAAAAAACCCAAACATGCAGATGTTACAGGCAAAATAAGTATGTGAGAGCAACAGCTCTGCAGACAGGCAGGTCAGTGCAGACAAAGGGCAGGAGATGCTCCAGGTGCCAGAGCAGAGATTCCCCTGCAGCCTGTGGTGCAGCCCATGATGAGGCAGCTGTGCCCCTGTAGCCCATGGAGCTCCATGGTGGAGCAGATCTCCACCTGCAGCCCTGGGAGGGCCCCATGCCAGAGCAGGGGGGTGCCCAAAGGAGGCTGTGACCCTGTGGGAAGCCTGCGCTGGAGCAGGCTCCTGGCAGGACCTGTGGCCCCGTGGGGAGAGGAGCCCACACTGCAGCAGTCTGTTCCTGAAGGGCTGCACCCCATGGAAGGGACCCACACTGGAGCAGTGTGTGAAGAACTGCAGCCTGTTCAAGGACTCACACTGGAGAAGTTTGTGGGGGACCCAAGGGAAGGACTCCAGTCTGGAGCAGAAGAGCGTGAGGAGGAAGGAGTGGCAGAGACAATGTGTGATGCACTGGCAGCATTACAGTGCAAATATTAACCAAAGTTCTACAAAACAGGACAGGAACAATTTCCTGCTTCTGATCGTAACTTGCATAACTGCTGCATTTGTATGTACTAACGCAGATGCCCGGCTAGAAACTCTTACTGCAGATTAAGTGTTATTTAAAGTGCTGTCTTCACTGTGCTGATACCAGACAAACATGCACAAATCACTGTAATCAGACTTAAGCAACTTGCATACCATTATTATTTCAATGGCTGCCTTAAATCAGAGCATGCTGTTTACAGCTGTTCGTGAAGCCCACAACTGCACAGAGACAAAAAACATACTAAAAAACCACATATTTTATTTTAGCATTAAAGATGCATCTCTAAACCATCAGTACAAAACCAAGTAAAAAAGTAAACACCGGCATTTTGTGAAATCACATTGAACTAATACGAGATTTAATATAAAGTTTTCATATACCACTCAAATGCAGTTTAAAAACAAACAAAACCAAACAAGTAGCCTGGTCTCCAAGACACCTTCTACTTGAAATAAACTGTTGAGTACCCACAGATTTTACCTACAAACCAAGGATACCTTCTTCTTCCATTTATGAAGTCAAGTCATGCACTTCAATCACCTGCAAGTGACATCTGTGTAGTCTGTTACAGAACTGAAGGGAACATATACAATGTCATGATTAAAGAAGTCCTTCCACTTTCAGTATAGGCTCTTGTATCAAGTCAATGCTTGTCACATATCCTTAGACTGATCATCTTCTTCAAGTTTTCTGATCTCACTCTTTAAACAGTTGATGGTTTCACGACTTGCTTTCAGTCTCTCTTTAAGCTCAGCAATTTCAAAACTAGTTTTCTTTTTGGCAGCTTCCAGCTTTTCCCTGGTTTTCACTTCAAGATCTGCAACTGTGGTGGCGACAAAGAAAAATGAACACTGTGAGTACCATGAAAAGTTGTGATCATGTTTTCTTTTTAATTTGCAACAGATTCAATTTGGATGGGGTGTCCTGGAAAAAATGTATTTTAATGTATTTTATAAATAAATTATATTGCTGGGCCTCATTCAGCCAATCAGTTGTGTGGATGGAGTTATATAATTCACTAAATCATAAATCATTTTCCAGAGCTTTCTAAAGATTAAGTGGGAAAAATATCAAAAAACCTGACATGGTACCAGCAAATAAATGGGAGATTGCAGAGAGTTACAAATAATTTGTATGTGGTGCCCAGTGCCAGGACATGAGGCCATGGACACAAACTGAAACACAGGAGGCTCCATCTGAACACCAGGAAACACTTTTTCAACCAAGCATTGGTACAGGCTGCTTCAGGTAGGTTGTGGAGTCTCCATCCATGGACATATTTAAAAGCCATCTGGACACAGTAGGCGGCCCTGTAGGACCCACACCTGTAGGTGGCCCTGCTTGGGCAGGGTGGAGGGAGCAGATGACCTCCAGAGGTCCCTTCTCCAGCCATCCTGTGACTCCTTTTCCATGTACTGTAACCACTTTCTCTCTCTGCCTTACTGGAGTTTATGTATCTAAAACACTTAGTTGTGCTGCCACTGCTGTAATGAGTATCTGACATTAGAACATCTCGATCTGCTTTGCTGAGATGTTACTTTTAATTTGCTCATGCACAAGTTTTTGGACAAAGCTGGCAAAGCCAATATACCAGGGAGGCCATGGATATCCCTTCCTATCCCAGACATTACATAATCCTGGATCATGGCAAAAAAACCCAAACAACTTAATTTTTACCTGCTTCAGTAGCACATTTTGAGGGAATATATACCACAAAAACCCCAGTAAAATGTCTATCTACTCTCAGGAGAAACATCCAGAAATTTTAAGTGAGGAAAGTTTAAATTTGGACAGTACTTCCTTATTAAAGATCTTCTACACATAAACCGCAACAACATGCAACATAAGGAAAATCCACTTCAAGACAGGCTAAACAGATGTAAAAATACAAGTAGCTCACAAGTCCACACACCCAAACAGACATCAGGCAGATGGGAACCTGAACTTTGTAGAGCTCCAAACTGATGGCTGTTCTTGGCTCCAGACACTGACTGCCCAAAAACACCCAGTAACATGTGCTGTCAGGGGAACATGCAGATGAGCCAGAGGCGTGTTGAGCCAGCCTATGCTGGCATTAGAATTTGTAATAACAAGGTATGGTTTGGGTTCAATAAGTATTACATTTGCTTTCTGAGTACTAAAGAGATGAAATCCAAACATTCAGAACAGAACTCTTCACTAAGTACATCCTAGTTTATGAATTACTATGTTTTAATTTCCTTTCTTCAATTCCCTTAGTATTCTGTTTTAGTTTTAAAGACAGATTAAAGAACTCAAAGAACACTAAGCTATACTTAAGAAGCATGTTATGAAATTACCTACACTTAAGAATTAGAAGGGAAAAAGGTAGAGCTTTCAAGACACTACTCTAGTCCCAAAGGGTTGCTGCTTTGACTCTAACAGTACCAAATGTTCTGTATTTCAGTGCATAAAGCATGATCTTTGCATGCAGTTAATATCTAGATGAGCTAAACACAACTGTACCATGCACAGCGACCTTGATTTATTATCTGGTTTAACTCATTTCAAAGATGTTAAAGTGAATGTAGATCATGCCAACATGTTCATAGTGAGTAATCCCTGAGTTGTGTTTTTCCAGCAGGTACACGGACCAGAAAAATCTTAACAGTTTTTAAATAAGCATTAATATCTTTGCAAAAGTCAAAGATAATTTAACACAAAACCACCCTTTTGTAGCAGCATCCAAGACCACTGTACTGTTACAGCCCAGAAAAAAGAACAACACTAAAAGCAAAACCAACTATTGTCCGTTTCTAAGATTAAAGTGTTGTTTTCAACTTACACTCTGTTTCATGCTTATAAGCACCTAACGTTAGTTGACGAGACGTTGTTAACAGCTGTTGCATCATTGCAGTAGGATCTTGAAATATCTAATGAAGGAGAGAAATACATGGTATCACTAATGCTCTTCAAAACAAAGTAAGGATTATGTTGAAAACTTCCATACCATTTCATCATAGAATTCAGAAACTACAGTTTTCTTTCCCAGGATGGCATTGGTATCAGACTGGAAAAGCTTCAGCAAGTGATACAAGGTTACCTGTACAAAGACAGAAGTTTATGAGATTGACAACTGTAGAGAAATACAAGTCATCTTCTGGATATCAACAAGCAGTATTTGTTCTTACTGAACAATTGTATAGGATTTAAAAATCTTTCAGGAACACAACAATAAATGTCATTTAACTTTAGAATAATTACTAAAGTTTAATATGAATCGTTAAAACACACCAACTACCCAGAGTTACTTTAAAATACTTTAATATGATGATTTTAAAATATTTTAATGATACTTTAAAAATGCCTGGGCAAGTATTTTAGGATCAGTGTAGAAAAACTATGAAGAACACCTTCTCTTAAACATTTCCGAACAGATGGTTTCCTTCAACCCAACTCTCCCAATTAGAGTGCTTTCTGTGACTGTGTCAACCCTTCTTGTGAAAGAAAAGCACCAGGAGGGGACTGTGAAGAGCTTCTCACTGAAGTTTCTCTTTGCAGCATTACTCTTCCATTACAGCACTGTGAATGGCAGAAGCCGGTGAGGAATGGAAGCCTTCTGCCTATCCCTGAGGAACCACTGACCACTTGGACCATGCCCTGGGAAGGGGACACAGAGTTCTTCCCTTCCATGAACATGCTTGTGAATGGCTGGGGAAGAGAGTGACACCTGACTCTGACTGGTACCTCCTGGAAAGGAAGAACCTGACAGGCACTGAAACAGCCTTCCACCAACAACAGCAAATTAAAACCACACCCAACCAACTTTAGGACAGCTTGGTCAAGCTGTGAATGGAATTAATACCACAAGTCAGGATGCTGCTGAGCACGATGGCACAGGAAACCCCTTCTAGTCTATTACCAATTATCTGTATTTAAGAAAAACTTAACAGTTTGCGCCTCATCTGGCAAAAAATGGCTAAAGCAAAAGGATCACGGCAGAATGAACTTAGTCCTTCCAGAAATAAAACAACCCCTTCCCCTAAAATATGTAACTGAGTTTCCTACCTAAGCCTAAGACAAGCAAACCTGCAAGATACACCGAAAACGCGGGATGGGAAGAATGGGAAGGAAGAAATTCATTCCAGTGATTTATTCAACTAGAGATGTGCCTTATCCTGTCTTTGTTAGGAAAGACTACTGCCAGCATAGTACCTTGGCTGTTTTCTGACTGGTTTTGACCCAGTCTGCTAAGACCAAGAACAAAAAAAAGAAGATAAAATAATTCAAATATCCTAGAACTAGGAACCTACATGGAAGAAAAATCCTTAGTATGTGCTCAAGCCAGGTAAGGTACAACACGTGGTCACGTATTAGCAAATGTCAGAGAAGCCAAGCACAGGCAGAGCAGATATCACAAATGCAACAGTAAATAAAGCACAGAAACAGGAAAACATGGACAGTTTTTCAATGCATCTCCTACAGGCACAGGCTCTATTAATTCCGTGACTAATGGGGCTTATTTTGAACAGCAATATCCATCCCACAGCTCAGCTTCACACCACCACAGCAAATTAAGCATTGATAGAAGTTCATTGTACTTACAGGCCTTTCATTTGGATCAATGAAAAATATCTTAATGATGATCTCAAATTCACCCCAGCCTGTTTCGGTGATTTCATATGGTGGTTTGGTAACAACTGCAGAAGGAATCGCAGAAGTGTTAATATGGGTAAAAGCTTCCCAGTGTAATTTGTCAAAATCCCAGTTGTAGGAACAGGCCAGGTGCAAGACCCACCTCTCAAGGGGTTCCCATAGCTCTCGTGCAACTTGAACTGGATTTTTTTCACATAGGCTGACATATCCTAAAACAGAAACGCTGTCATTCCCAGTGATTTACACAGCACACCAAACTACTGGTCATCATCCACAGAATCAACCAGGCTGGACAAGACCCTTCAGGTTATCAACTCCAACCTTTATCCCAGCACTGTTAAAGACCACCACTGAACCAAGGCACTGGGGGCCTCACCTATACTTCCAGGGATGGTGATTCCACACTGCCCTGGGCAGCCTGTTCCACTGCCTGAGCACCCTCACTGTGAATAATTTTTTCATAATATCCACTCTAAATCTCCCCTGGTGCGGCCTGAGGACATTACCTCTTATCACTTGGGAGAAAAGACCAACCTCGCATCACTCTATCCTCCTTTCAAATACTTGCAGAGAGCGGTAAGGTCCCCCCGTGAGCATTCTCCAGACTGGACCCCCCAGGTGCCTCAGCCGTTCCTCATCAGACTTGTGCTCCAGGCCCTGCACCATCTCTACTGCCCTTTTCTGGACCTGCTCCAGCACCTCACTCACTCCACCCACCCGTCCTCCAGGCCTGTTGCTTCTTCTGACAAACACAGGATTTCTTCTGACTTTAAGTACGAAAGTCGGGCAGTAAATCCACAGACTACTGCCGGGTGGCGGGTCTGTCACTACTTTGTCCCCTGTCCTCATAGGCCGGCTTTTTAAACGCCCAATTCCCAACGCGGGGCTCGGCTTAGGCGGGGTAGGAGCTGTCCCCCGGTCGCGCCTCACCTCGTTTCGGTAAGGCTTCACGTACACCGTCCACTGGTGAGTGTGCCCATCTTCTTCCCTCTTCTTCCCGAAGTACCGCGCCACGTTTCCGTACACGATCGGCTTCACGATGGTGACGCCCTTAAGAAGCGCAAAACCAGGAATAAACCACAAGGGACACGTTCCGACACGCGCCCGTAACCCGACTCGGGCCGCATCCGCACGGAGCCGCTCCCGCCCCGCCCCTCGGCTCCTCCCGCCCGCGGAGCTCCCCGCGGGGTCGGGGTCCGGGTCCGGGTCCGGGACCGCACCTTCACGCGTCCCCCGGAGTCAGGCCCGAACTCGGCCATTCTCTTGAACATATTGCCCCGGGGGGGCGCCGCCCGCAGCCGCCGCCCGCGCGCCGCTCCCGCCAGGCCCCGCCAGCTCCGCCCGGCACCGCTGCCCCAGCCGCTTCCGGCGGCGCGCTGCCGTCATGGCGCCGCGGCGGGGCGCGGGCGGGGCATGGCGCGCTGCGGTCAGCAACATGGCGGTGGCTGGAGGGCCCGCACTCGGTTGCGGCCTTGGTGCTGTGGCTCTCGTAGCGTTACTTCACAAGTCCTCACGCAGCCTTGGCCATGGGTGTATCGCGGCGCATTCCCAAGGCACGGCGCCGCGCTCGGTGGAAGCAGCCGTCCTCCGCGAACGGAGCTGTCCCAGGGAGGGTTCTGTATGTGCTGACAGACGGGTGCAGAGGGAGGGAAAGGCCCGCGTAACACAGAGGAAAGGGGTAAAAGGTGGCAGCGTGGTAATAGCCGTGCAGCAGCACCGAGCTCCGGGACTGTGGGCTGAGTGCTCCAGAAATCTTTGTACATCCCTGGAATATACAGAATATCACCTGCGGCAACACACGAACCTGTTGTCTTCCGGACAACCGAAAGCTGTGTACTTCTGTTTGCATTGTCCAAGGGAAAGCAAACAACTGCCCTCTGGCAACTCTCAGTTACCAGAATGAGCAGAGTAAGTCCAGTGAAGCAAGTCCACACACGATGGAAAGCAAACTGGGCTGCAAGAGGATGCTGCATCTCATGCATTTATCTTCACAAGACAAAATACAGAATGAGGTTAACGGTGTGACAACAAACTGGTTTCTGTCACTCTTTAGGGTTACTCTGCAATAGAGCTCCTTTGCTCATGGGTAAAGAACTGTGTCATCAGCTGATGGTCTTGATAGGCACCACTTCGGTTTTGCAGCAGAAGGGTTAGCCCACCACAAGTTAGCAAGTTATGCTTCTGGCTCAAAGCTGGATCAGATTCAAAGTTGAAGGTTCTTTGGCTGAATAAGGTATTAAAAATTAACTGATGCTTAGGTGTGAGCGGCTTGTGCTGGTGGTCCTTGTCAAGACAAGTCGGTTTATCAGGAGCAAATGCCTTCAAATCAGAGCCTGCAGGAGGACTGGGAGAAACACCCTTTCCCATTACAAAGGTGAGTAAGCACAGCCCCGTTTGAACCAATGAACAGATTCCCATGAAGTCTGTTGAAACAGCAATGCGTCACGGAACTTTTTGCAAGGTGCACAGGAGGTTCTTGAGGAATGGCACTAAAGGATTACACTTTTAGAGTTGCTTTAGAGTTGGCACATTTGTATAGATTAGAGCTGTGCTCTCTTACTGCAAAAATGAACTCGGTATTTAGTCATTTCTACTTTTATAACCATTTTTAATTCAGTTAGCTGTGCTACTGGAATTTTCTAGGTCTTCTGTATGTTGTTTCCCTTCACCATTTGAGCTGGGAAACAACCTAAGCACATCCCAAAGGAAGTAAAACTTGAAAGTCAGTTTTATTTTCAGTTCCAGTTGATTCTATAAACCTGAAACGTGTTACTCAAAACATGCTGCAGTCACAGCTAAGTGGCTCTATTGACTGCCCACAAGTGCTCCAAGGCCCTCCTGTGGCTGGAGCCAGAGCATTTTCCAGCCTGTCTTAGTCTTCATAATGGACAGAAGGTGCCACTCTCTCTATTTGTCTGGGGTGCAGGGAGGAAAGCAGAAGTGAAACTGCCTTCATTTATTGTCACTCACGCAGTCAGTCTAACACTCCCCTACCGTAATACTAGCTAGTAATAGCTCAGTCAGGAACACTTTTCTTTTTCAAAAGCTGTATTTAAAGATGCCAGATAAACAGCTTCTCACTGTCTTTCAGACCCCGAAGCTATATGACACTTTGGGACTTCATCATTTTCTTTGTAGGTGTGACAACTCCCCCTGTGCTGAAGAGAGTGTCCCTCTTTTTCTTGGGTATTGAAAACATTCCCTTATTCCACATTCACACACAGCTAAAAGCTCACAAGTATCAACATTAAAAAGGAAGATCTTGCCTTGGAGCTAGCAAATTCCTGACTACATGTTCCCATCTAATCTGGCAGTTCTGACTAAACCGTAACGAAGCAAAGATGTAATGAACTGCACATAAGCATCTACCTGGGAGGCATCAGTCAGAGCAGTAGTAAAGGCCTGAAAAAGGCTGTACAGAAATAAGCAGCTTGGCTTCAGCTTGGCAATGTTCTTTGAATGGGCTGATTTAAGAGTTTTATTTCTAAATTGATTCTGAGTTAAAAGCCATAAAATTATAACTAAATGGAACAGTCAGCGGATAACTTAAAATTAGGAGGGCACAGTAGGGATCCTGCCTGATACCCCCCCCATTATTTTTCTGAAGTATCATACTGTTACCACTCTGAAAGAAACACCAAGGAAACGTTCCCGGGCCCCAGCTGAGATGGAGGCCAGCCAACAGATCGCTTTCATCATGATGGAGCATTTACACTAACACAGAGAAGCTCAAAATACAGCTTTTTATAGCTGCCAATAAAACACTGGCCTTCCCTGACCCTTTTCATTCAAAATAATTTATGTGTTAAAAAAGAAGCCATTGCACAGTTTCAACATTATTTCCTGCAGTTCCTCCTGCAGGGCTCTGTTAGCCATTCTACACCATTCACAGTTTCTGTTACCTTTAGACTATGGGTCTTTAAGAAAACAGGAGGTGTGGACCTACATCTTGCAAAGATTCCAGGGTAAATGACCGAGGAAAGCGAGAAGTGTAGTTTTAATTATGTACAGGCTCCAAACGACTTTCTGAGGTGGGAGCCCAAGTCCCTTACAGCTTGAGCCATGAATAAGGATTCTGTTTGGGATGAATGGTCTCTGTTTTCATCCCTTCCCTCCAGTGTGGAGCTGTAACACATCCTGGCAGAGGCACATTTTTAAGTGAAGCACAGTCTGAGGATTGTAAGTGATGGTAAGGGCAGCTGCCTGTCAGTCAAAAAGTAAATGGCTAAACAGGGAAAGGGGATACCAGCAAGCTTCAGAAATTACTTCTAAGCATCAGTTTAACCA